GTTTATCACGACAAATGAAAATCGTCACACACTTCCAATAATCCAAATGCCCCCCAACATCCTTTGTCTTATCACAAGCTCACTGCAAGATTCACTAAATACGTTATTTTCCTCGATTTTCTACACTTTTGTCGTCAACACCGGCGATTTTGTTTGACGATCCGCGTATTATAATGTCTATGCTCTTATACCCGGCGATTTCCGAGGAATTTCACGTACTGAAACAATGGGAACAATGGACTATGTCAGAAGATGGTGGGGCGTCGGAGACCCCACGCATGCGCACAAGAGGCTACGGGCATTGCCATGCGCAGACACTCCAAGCGAATGCGCCTTCGTCTGTTAAGAACGACGCGGGACCGGCAACAAAAATTTTGGGGACGAAACACACATGAGGAGAAGGCGTTAAACAGCGCTACTTACGACGTTTGAAGGTACTTGTCCCCTGTTTTGGTGTTGGCGACATCAAAGCTTGGCAATACCTCCTTCCATCATACCTTATGGCAGACACCCCAGAATTGCGCCCTCCCTCTCTTGGGGTGCAGTACTACGATGTCTTTGGGGTCACTCAAACTCCCTGACCTGAGCCTCTACTTTAGTCAATCCTCTTTGGTAATATCTGTGGTACCTACATATATTTCCAATATGGCCACCTGAAATGACAGGAGTTAGACAGGTGGCTGCCAAGTGACGTTTGGTGTAAATAATTATTAGATTAATTTTTTAGTCGATGCATTGATGAGCTTAGGTGATTTCAAGGGAGAATAATGAGTGAACGTGAGTGCAATCATGGTGCCAATGACGCTGACTTGGTAGATGATGCAGTTGATCCACGAGTACAGGTTAATATCTCTTTTCTCGATATTTTTGGGCAATTCAGGAAAAACTCAAAAAGCCAAAACGTTATCATTAATTTAACGTGTTCATCACATATTATTGGAAAAAAGTGGTTATTGGAATGCATGTGAATATGTTTATATATTTGTCGAATTTTTCAATTTCTCCAATGGAGGAGAAATGTTTTTAGACACATTTCTCTGGCTCTATTTTTTCATTGTTTAGATTGAACTTGAAAGATTGAATACTGCAACTGATGATATCAACAAACTTGAAGTGGATTTAGATGTAAGTCTGTCTAACAATAAAGTTGAGGGTGTACTGAATGCTAAGAGTAAGAGAGGTATTTTCACCTAAATATCTTTTTTAATTGATGCTTAGGAGGCTAGGGCAACCTTCCGGAAATTACTATGTGAATCAACAATAACAATTAACACAATGGGCAAGAAACTGGGCTCTTGTATCGAGAAATCTCGACCGTATTATGACAGTCGTTTCAAAGCTAAAGAAGTAAGTACCACTGAAAAATAGCAATGAGAATTACATTTCTTTTTTTAATATTTGTACTCGCATCTCCTACATCATTGATCGTTAATTTGAAGGCACTCAGAGAAGCTCAAAAGGCAGCAGTGAGATATGAAAGAGCGAATGGTCAGCATGCAGCGGCTAAGGAAATGGTTTATCTCGCTGAAGAGGGACTTAGAATGGAGGGTAGGTCCTTTGATCACGCCTGGCAGGTATGAACTCTCTGAATAGATATCCTTCGCAAGAAAACAGCATGTAGTGGGAATCTATCGTTTTTCTACGATCCCAGGAAATGTTAAATCATGCTACGGAGCGTGTCAACGAATCTGAGCATGAGAGGGCCCTCTCAGAGGCTGAGCATAGACATATGACTGCATTGTACCACAATGCGGAGCACAACGTTCAGCGTTTGCAATCAGAGCTGAAACGATCAATCGCTAAATCCAGGTGAATTTGGCTGTTCAAAGATGCCTGTTATTTTGCCAAATCATTTAGTCAAGATTATATTCATCTCCTGCATGATGTAAATGAGATTTACCTGGTCATACTGTTAATTTTTTTTTCATAACTTAAACTGTTGAAAGATGAATTCATTGAATTCCTAATACTAATAATTTCATCGTGCCCAGTAGCAACTCAATAAAATGGTGGTTCTCCTCAACACTTAATACGGGCACTTTTATATAAAATGCTTCCAATTATCACCTGTTTTTTTTTTCTCTCTCAACAAATGACTTGCAATTTTAATTGCGACAAAGCATTTGCGATTTTATCACATGAATTATTAATATATTTATATTGATTCTATTCAATTGTCATGTTTATTTGTGAAGAGAAAACTTTGTGAGATTTTTTGAATTTTCTCTCAATGACCAACTTTGGACCATCATATATTTTTTATTTATAATATATTCATTGGCAGTATGGATGCACGTCGCAGCTTGCTTCTGATAAACAGTATCGCCTACAGGCACACCTTGTTACTATTGTAAGTAGTGATAGAATTTTTATCAATTTCCCACATTTATTTAGCATGAATCGTCCTGTTTATTTCTATTATTTCGCATGGATTTTACATAACTTTCTGTCCACTTCGGAATAAGGAATCCAAGAACTCATCATTAGAGTAAATATGTTTCAATTGAAGAAACAAGTATTAATGATTTACTTTTTTGGACTTGCAACGACTATTAAATTTTGCGATTATTAAAGTATATATAATTAATAATGGTCGTCAATATAAAATTGCAAGTTACAATTTCCATACTTTATTGAGGAACAGGCCATATTACGAGATGAAGGCTCAATTTAATCAAGTCCTGGAGCAGCAAAAGACTCGTGTCAGCGAGCTTGAGCGTTCAGTGACTGAAGCCAAAATGACGTATGCCGAAGCACTGAGGAATTTAGAGAAAATAAGTGATGAAATTCATCGCGTAAGTTTTTATTCATTAATCATACTGAAATAATTTTATTACAGCTGTCAATTATTATACACGCAATATTTCTGAGCATAGTGTCTATCGTACATTTATTTTTTTTTAATAATCCCATAAGTTTATTAAATTCAATGGAAAATCATTTATTTAAGAATAGTTTGGTTGTATCCGGTGGTGTCGTCTCTGTCAGCGTCGGAGGACAACTTTTATAAAGCAATATTTTTAAAAAGCTATTTATATAAATTTTTGAACATGACAATTTTAATGAATATATTTATTAGATAATGTAGCCGAGCTCTGATAAAAATCATTTTGAAAAGTATTGATTATTATAATGTGCTGATAGACACGCCAGTACGATGGAAAAATTGGCAAAGCAAATGAGAAGGATAATCCACCAACGTCTTCAGAGTCAAGTGTTACGGGTTCACCAGATAGTACTGATTACACTAGCGATGAATATTTGCAACTTCCTGATAAAATGAGCCCGAAAAACTGTCCTGTTCAGACGAAAATCGAGGGTAATCCCTCGAAAGAATATTTGGGCCTGGCGACGCTTAATATGTCCTCGACAGAACCCCGAAAGTACATTAAACGTGAAAATCGTCCAGTGAGCACAGTAATGACCCCTGAATCACAGCCTCCAGCTTACCGCGGTCCTGCCTCCCCCTCCTGTGAAGATAAAGTACATACATATAACTCAAATATAAAGATTGACGAGAAGGAAAAGGGCCAAGGGGAGAAGGAGGCTTGCAGTAGAGAACATAATGGTGAGGAGTGGACAGAGATAAGTTTGAACAACTCTCCAGACGATATTTACTACAACAATGATGTTTATTCGGATGAGGAAGATCAAATACCTTATAAACCGTTACCCAGCGAAGTAAGTCCAGACTCTGGAAGTGCATCAATGGTTTCAGGGTTTAATGATCAGCTTCCACAAATGAGTGGACGAAAAAAAAAACTTGTCAATCAACAGTCGTTGCCTGTTGATTGGAGTGGTAATTCCCAGAGTCCTGCTAGAGTTAAAGGAAAATTGGACAGCAGCTTGGCGAGCTGGATTACCAGGAGTTCTGCGGCACAATCTGATTGTGGAAATTCGTCAAATTCTATTAGAAGGCAGTCACTCGATGTTCTATGGAGTGTTGGCCCTGGGGAGAGAGTCAAAGAGTTATTGAATCATGGAATGATGATACTTAACATATCTAGTCTTACCGAGCGAAGGTCCAGTGACCCGAGACTTGCTGAGAAAACTCTTGAGAAAAGTTACAAAGATGACAAGGTCGAATTGAGAGGGAAAAAAGTTCCTTCTCCATTGGAAAAAACTGTGAGTTATCTCACTGCTGATGAGGAGACGTCTGACAGCGAGAGTTTGACGAGGTAATCCGTCAATTATTTCTAATATTCAGCCAGCCGTGTTTATGAATTTCGAAAGACTTGAGTATTTTCGAATTTACTTATTAATTTGAAAAACGTTGTTACAGCGTTGAAATGCTGTCCGAAGATCAGATATCTTCGTTAATGATGGAACCTGACATTAATCAAGTATGCCAGGAGGTCCTTGGTACGCCTCTAGTAGAAGTCTGCCCGCTGCTTCAACATTTACAGCGGCAGCATTAACAAATGTGAAAGTTGCATGAAACACCAAAGAAAAAACATTAATAATGAAAAAATCTGTATTTATTAGTAGATACATTGTCGTTTATTGAAGACAAGTAATGGAAAAATCATTTCGGATGATCGTTTTTTTTTTTTTCGAATACTTGGGGATAATGAAGAATTATCAATCCATTATAAACGATTATTGAATAAAGCTGAAAGAGCCTAAATTTATCCGAGGAAAATAAGAAATATTAATTATATGTATCAATTGAATAATCACTTGACGTAATTTTTTTTTATCGTCATTGGGGAATGAAGTTAGTGCACTAGAGTTATTCAGAATAAGTGTACACACTGGTCATTATCTTTCGTAAAATTCGTTGCGTGTTAGTCAATGATGGTATTATTTCAAAAAAATGTGATTGGTTTCGTCATTTCATATGATTTTGTTATGTTTACTTTGTTGATGATGAATTATTTTGTAAATAATTTCAACAGATAATCTTCAAACAATTTATTTATTGTATTGTTGGATATAATTGTACGTATTAGGGCCGCCTTATAAAAATTGAACTATATATAGCTGAATTACGATGAAATGAATTTAAATTCTCACGTCAATCTGGACGCGCCAATTGACAGGTATAGAAAATCTACGAATAAAATATCTCATTCATTTTAATATTTATTCATCAGGTGAGCAATAGTGATTTTTGTTTGTTTTGTTTTTTTTTGTTTTGTTTTTTTTTTTTTTTTTTTTCAAATAATGAGAAACTAGCAAGTACGTATCATCTTCTTAATATAAGTTGACTGTGTGCTCCATCGCGCTAATTACGGATTATAATTAATGAATTGAATTAATTGTAAAATATTGTAAATGTGGCTGTAAAATTACCTGTAAATAAGGCAAAAATAATTAACAATATTAGTTAAATAAATAATGAGAAAATCAAAACTTATTGTCGATTGATCTAAGTTCGATCGGTGAGAAAAAATTTAAATTATCCTAAACACTTATCCATATTCTTATTGGTCCAATCTTCCCTGGCGTTACCTACCGTCAAGACTAGCAACTAATACGAAAATTGAAAAAAAAAAAAAAATAAATGTGGAGTTTCCAAAGTAAAATGGCGGTGCTTGCGGCGAGTATGTCGACTCGTTGAGTAACGAGAAGTTTCCAAATTTCTCAATAAAACCATCCGATATCTAAAAAGACCGTGAATAAAAAACTTGGAAAGATCGTAAGTGGAGTAAACTAATAACCAAGAGAAAATCAGTGAAAACGTTATTAATTCAATCACCCTCTCGACAGTTGTCTCACCTCCCACAACTGGAGCCTTCTCCATCACCAAAAACATCACGATAAAAGCAAATAAATAAATTAGAAATCATCAATTGGTTCCTCAAGGAAGCCTAGTCTTATTTTCAATAGAACACATAATTATTATTTTTCTCAATTGATTGAGTTTTAAGGGAATTTTTGTCCCAAGTGTTGCTCGACCCTTAGTGATCCTCAGTGTTTATAAACTCCCTGGTGTGGAATCTTCGCCCCAATTGTTTAACTAATTGCTCAATTTAATTTGTGCCCCTGAGGAATTTTCATTGTCGAGAGTAGATCGAGCAGTAGAGTGCTTTGATTTTTGATTCTTGTCGCGAGTGATTCAGTGACTCTTCAAGGTTGATATCCGTTGGCTGATTTGGTCTACGTAAGGATCATGTTTGCACTTGGGATGGGCCAATGACCGGCTCGCAGAAAGGACTGCAAATCAAGGAGATTCTCTCATTTTTTGTCGTTAAGAACACTTTACTGTTCTGAGGTTTGTCTCACTCGTTTCAATTTTCAGCTAAATTATTCCTTCGCTATTTTGATTTATCGGTTGCATTGAATGTGAGGAAAGGGCGGACAGAGGCAGTAGTCAAGCGTAATCAATCAATTTTCTGGAATTATTCCGTTGAGAGATATTGATTTCTATAATGTAGTTAAAAAAACGAATAATATTGCCAATTATAATGAAAAAAAAACATTTTAAAAAGAAAAACAAAGCAGAAATTAATTTATTTATTCTGACACAAGTAAATCGCATCCGTACTATTCACAAAATTTCCTGCGTGACCAAAATTAAACTTTATTTCTATAATGCGTTAATTTTTTGGTATAAAGTTTTCGCTTGCACGGAAAATAAAGTGATATATAAATATTATTATTTCAGAAGTTGTTAATATTTATTTGGTGAATATTGCGGCATGGCGTTGAATCCACGTGACATGGATGGCTTTATGCCTCTGCTATCCACTTCAGACATAAAAACAAAAATGACTGTGGGTAATAATCTGTTGAATTACCTCAGCGATCCCAATAACAGCATTGAGTGTCAGGACATTGGATTGTTCATTGATCATATCATCTCGTGGCTGCACAATGGCAATGCCAAGGTAATATCATCTCTTGTGTGGTTGAGTGAGTGGTAGAACTAGTCATAAAAAACATAGAGTTCCAAACATAGAGTTACTGTGTGATAAGTAGCACTATCATTAGAATTGGACGATAAATTATTAGAGGATTCACTTGAAATTATTTAATTATGGCATCGAAGTGAATTTTTGGAGAAGGCAGTAGTTTTCGTGTCTTGAGAAAAAAGCCAATTTTTATACACAATTCATTCGGTTGTCATTCGATTTTTATGTGATGCAATTGATTTCCTTTTCAGGTAAACATGATTTTCCAGTTTTTCTCTATATGGAAGATACAGGCTTTCACACCTTTTCAGTTGACATGCTTGAACTTTGTGTGTATTTCTGCACAATTATTTGGCCTCTTGAGATTCACCTCCCACCGCTTATCCTCCAAAATTTAAAGCATTTATAACTGTGACATGATATATTCGCCGCACTGAGCAATGAAATAATTCTCCTTTGGTTAGCATCATTAATAAGAAATAATTATTATTGGTTATAAAGCAAATTCATTGGAAAAATGTGTTAATTTTTTTATGAATATCTGTGAAGTGATTTCAATAAATGATCGTCAGGTCGCCCGCCTACGTCACTTAGAAAAGAAAAGAAAGGAAAAGCATGTGTCGTCCAACTGAATTGGCTCGTTCACTCCTATATTTAGCTTACATATCTCATTTTATTTACCTTATTTTATTAGATCTGTTGTACTCCATCGAGCCATGCTTTATTGAAGAGGAAAATTTGATGAATACCGAATATTTGAGTTGAATAAACTTGTTATTGATGAGCAGTGGTACACATTTGCCTGTATTCATGGAGGGGCACGGAACGAATGCACTCGATTTGTGTCCTTACTCATTTTGAATTTATTTTATATTTTATTTGTAGTTACTAACTATTAATCGTTAGGAATCAGCTTCAATGAGGCTATTTGTATCGGAGCATAGCGGCACCTGGTGTAATTTATAAGTTCTGAAAGCCGTCGGTCGTTTCCCTGAGACTATTTTCGGGCTGAGTGGAAGCAGTAAATGTTTTGGCACACTCTCGTATATTCCAAGTTTATTCTCTCCAACAGATCAAAATAAAAAATCAAAAATTATCCAAGTGTACTTGGGTATCCTGGTAAACGATTAAATCAATTTTTCATCAACATTTTCTTTCATCATTCATATAGATTGTCCAAAATGGTCTGGAAATATTGACCCAGATAGCGGATAGAATAGGACATGACTTTCGACCTTATCTCACAACTATTATTCAGCCGACGATTGACAGATTAGGTGTGTACTTTTGGACACTTGATTTTTCAATTTGAATAGTGATGTGCAATAACATGATCGATATTCCAGGTGACAGTAAGGATACGACGCGGGAAAAAGGACGTTTGGTACTTTTAAAATTGATGGAGAAAGGAAGCATGACACCACAACAGCTTCTGGACAAACTGCACACTGCATTCAGTCATAAGAATGCGAAACTGAGGGAAGAGTCACTTATCTTACTGAGTACTACACTTGATGAGTACGTCAATTTTTATAAAATGTTAAATTATAAAAATGAAGATATGAACAATAGACCAGCCTCTCATGAGAGGTTTCGTAGTGAAAAATTAAAGACTTGGAAAAAAAAAAATTAATTTCACACCAATTATGTTGTTTCCCTTAGATTCGCAGTTATACGACTTGCTAATTCTCATCTACTGAAGTTATCTTCCCTACTGAATCTATTTCAATTGAATAATCATGACATTTATTTATTTATTTATTTATTTATTTATTTATTTTTTTTCTTTAAAAGACATGGTGCCGACGACATGGCCTTATCAGCAGTGATTCCCAGCATTGTCAAACTTCTATCAGATCCTAATGAGAAAGTCCGAGAAACAGCAGTCACTACAGTGGTTAATATTTACAGACATGTTGGAGAAAAATTTCGAAATGACTTACAGCGCAAACACAATCTACCACAGGCGAAGTGAGCTCATTATAATAATCAATTTTGTCTACCCATTACTTTAGTTTTTTAGTGTATTAATTCTTACCAGGAGTTATTTCGTATTTACACAGCTCGGTGATTGAGAAAACACAAAGATTTTATTAAAAATTAATTATCTCCAAAAGATTATAAATCGGCCCTTTAGGGGGGTGATAAAAAAGTATTTTTTTTTTTATTTCGTGTTTTTCGGATTATGGGAGTTTGACTATCATTTACGGGTTGAATCCATGTATACATCTATTAACTGATTGGCAATAAATGATGGTAAAGTATAAGTATAAGTAGTAGTAAAATCCATAAAATATTTAGCAATAGTTACATCTGAATTTTAATTAGTTTTTTTTATTTTCCATCTAGATTGCAGCTCTTAGTGGAGAGATTTGAACAAGTGAAGGCTGATCACGATTTCCTGCCAATGGCAACGACATCCGAACGTAAGTAATGTAGACATTATTAACAACTTATTGGATTATTAAAAATACCGAAATTCTGAGTGTTAATGTTTAAAAAAAAAGTAATGAGATTCTCATTGAATTTGCAAAAATTGTGCGATTATTAGGCCTTTATTACTGGAAAACTGCTTCCATCTATTATAAAAGTATCAGTTGCCCCGTCTCCGTGCTATCAATTAATGACTTTGATTTTTCATAAATTCAATTTATAAACGTGTAAATATCAATTGAAAAGAGAACAAGGAAAGAGGAAAACCAATACTAGATACTACTATTTAATTGAATTATGAATTGAACAGCAATTGATTTTTATCTAGACTGTGATCGACGAGAAATGCCAAGAGATATAATAAGCTTGAGGAAATCATTGAAATTACGTAATTGAGTGGATGGATTACTAGATTGGAATCTAGTACGAGTGTATCATTGCTGATGCTCGTTGAATTTAATTTTAACTTCATATCCAATTCCACCTGTATTTTTCGTCTCGAGTATTCGCTCCTTTTGTTTCATTATGATTTTTTCATTCGATTCATTCTGTATGCTGTACCTACCGTGCACGATTTGCCTATTATTGTATCAGATACCGCACTGGTATGCACCTAGTGTCAATACGAAAAAAATTATATAATTTAAATAAACGCACGACCCATTCGAGGCTGGAAAAAAAATTATTTTTTAAATCTTTAACCCTTCAAGACAAGGGCTCGAGGGGAGAAAATAGGAGTTTTTAAAGTTATATATGGGAGTATTACGAAGTAAAATGCCACTAGTGAAACATTTAACGTGACGACAATCTTCGATTAGGTCACACATGGGCTTGGCCTGAGGGGAGGCTCACGACTCCTCGGCTGATTTAACACATCTTATTCTTACTCTCTGATTTCAATGTAACCTGGACAAAAAAAAATTGACAATTAAATGTAGGACTAGGGGAAATTATTCGTTTAATGCTCGAACAATTCTATTTTTCTTCTTCGCACAGTGATTTTTTAATTTATTTATTTTTTTTTCAATCTATATATAATTAGAATGAATGTTTTCTTCCCCATGAGTGTTTCGAGAGAACCTTCTATATAACATGGTTAGAATTCCGATCTTTAAAATTATTTGATAATAAGAAAAAATATTAAAAACCCCCTTCTTTCATTATTTTATTTTGTTTTGATTTTGAGTGGCTATAATATTGTTGTAGCAATTGCCAATGTAGTAAATGTTGAGTTGTAAATACCTCTGAGGATCTTTTGTGTGTACTTGCGTACCTCTTCAACACACTCCTTTCACTTTTACCACATGTGCACACTCGTGCAATAATAAAAGAAAGAAAATTCAATGCAGCACTCATAGGCGAATGGCAATTTGCAAAATTCTTGACCCTAGCCAATATATATTTTCATAGGTTTTAATTCGAAATCATTGAAATATTTTTAACTTGACAGCAGATTCAGTATTAGTAATAAAATAGAGTTATTATTAAATTAATATTTAAAATCATAAGAACAATTCATTGATTGTTGATTATCACTTAATATTAGTTATTATATTAGAAGACGTAAAATTTACATTCACAATTACTTTGTGAAAATAAAAAACCTCACTTGAGTGCTGAGATATAAGTTAATTCAATTTTTAGTATAATCGAAAATAAATTCTCGGAAAATTATGACATTTATGCCAATGTATGAACTTACGTAAGACGATCGTAAATTCTCTTCACATATAATTTTGCTTGTGTACACAGGCAATTGCTGACGAATGAGTAGACGATCATTACCCGCTCCAATTATTTCGGCACTCATTATCCTATCCACTAACCAATATCCATTAAGATTTAAGAATTCTTTTCTTCAGCTCCTTGAGCCAAGTTTAAACGATAGAATCGATATTTTTCCATAAAATTTATCATAAAAATTTATTTTTCCGAATAAGCCAGCAATTTCCTAACGTTCATTCTTAGCCTCGTACTTCGCACGATAGTTCATTACTTCCGCTTAATTATTAAGCACCTTGTTTTTATGTAATAATGGCATTTCCACCTTGAAAGTGGGGATTAAGAACCAATTCGTGATTAACAAATATCAAGAGAAAATTAATTTAAGGGCCGGATGGAGTATCTCGGAAAGATAATTTACTCCAAAATTGGGATTCCTAATTACTCCGCCAATTAATTGTTTTTTTACCATAATTGTTAGCTAGCGTCCTAGTCGTTGACAACCGCTGGAACGCTAGCTAACAATTATTGGAAAAAAAAAAAAAAAAACGATTAATTGCCAGAGTAATTAGGAATCCCAATTTTGGAGTAAATTATCTTTTCCAGATAATCCAACCGGTCCTTAATACAATATTCTCGGTGATTTTTGTCCCTCCATGAATTTTTCATATCCCTTCGCTGAGTATTATTTTTTTTTACATACCATACTTGTATATTAAAACAAGTATGTTTGGATCTCCGTCAATTGTCAATTTTTCTTTTTGTCATCAACCAAAGAGCGAACCCTTCTCTTCCTTTTCTTCTCTCTATCTTTATCTTTCCCCTCTTTCCACCTCCCTCTATCTACGCGACTCAATCGCTATGGAAACAACTCACGATTTTCCATCAAGGTAGTTTACCAGCAGACGTATTACATCTACTATACTTATCGGCTTACACACCTAGTAAAAATAAATATGAAACCATCATTTCTCTGAGATAATTATCAAGTTTAATAGAACTTCAATAACACTGTTGTTGGTTGAATATTTTTGGAAGAATACAATTTGAACAGGGAGTAGTGGAAAAAAAATCAATTAATTTGGATATCCTTAAGACGATAAAATAGAGAATGAGAGAAAATTCTTTATTACTGATTGGCCGTTCCAATTAAACAACTGTAACTGATGAATAAAAAAATTATAGAATACAATGTTGGATTACTTTCATCTCGATGTGAAGATGGTGAATAAATTTGCGAGTGGCTAACAACAGTGGGACGAACAGTGTGAATTCACACTTTCTCGGCAATTTTTTTATTCTTCCCGAGTGGTTCAATGGGTCTTTTCATTTGCTCGACACCACTTATAATTGAATAGTGTGGAGAATTTTTTCTTTACTGGACTACTAATTAAGTAATAAAATGCATCAAATGTATGGCAATACAAGTATAGTGGTAGAAAAGCATCAGCCAGTGAACCTTCACAGACATAAATGTGCTCATCGCGGCCTGATTAGGTATCCCAGTGTTGATAAAAAAATCTGGGACCCCAGCAGCACTTGGATACTTCAATGGGACAATATTGTTAAACATCCTGGGGCTAGAGCGCGTGGATGTCACTGCGATATTCATAAACCACCTTGGTTATACCCTAATTTAGGTATAACAAAAAAAAGATTACATCTTCAATTTATACAGAGCAAACTCCAAACTTTTTTACCTTAGAAAAAAAAATTTTTTTTTTTTCTTTTAGTCTGTATTAACATTTAATTATGTTGCAGTTGGTAGAGAAAATGATGAACCTGATAGAGTTGTGAGTGTGAGTCTTTTGTCTATTGCTATTTTGTCAATTTGCTATTAGCTTAAAATTTTCATTACAAGCTTGTAATATTTTTTTCCCCTCAATCCTTACAGGTGAGATCAGTACCAGTTAAACGAGTAAAAACTGTTCTTCAAAAGAAAAGTCAATTTGGTCCAGCCTCCAAAGGACTCCCAGTAGTGGGTGAGTGAATAATTAATGATCTTAGTCTATAGAAGCAACAATGTGAAATTATGGAAATTTAAGGTGGAGCTGGTGCAATAGATGAAGAGACTTTTGTCACAGCATTCGAGGACGTGCCGAGTGTCCATTTGTTCTCACCACGTGATCTAGAGGATCAAATTAAAGTCATTCGAGAAACTATCGGTGATGATAAAAAAGACTGGAACCAAAGAATTGACAGTGTGAGTATCACTAGCCCTCTGAATAAATAGCCGTTATTCTATGAAATATTATATAATTCTCCATTGTTATTAGCTAAAAAAATTGCGGGGAATAATTTTGGCTGGTGGTGCAAGTAACGAGACTTTCATGGAACACCTCAAGAGTCTACAGAACAATTACGAGGGTGCAATTACAGACTTGCGGTCACAGGTTGTTAAAGAGGCTTGTATAACACTTGCCTTCTTGAGTCGACATCTCAAGAACAAATTTGCTGCTTTCGTTGAGCCCCTGCTCGGATCCCTCATGAATCTCATACAAAATAGCGCTAAGGTATGCTCTGATTATTAAAGAAAATTTATATATTTTAAGAATAATTATTGTTGATATCAATTAACATGAAACATGTGTGCCTTCTTCAAATTTCAATATTTCAATTTGATATGAAACTAATGAGGATTTTTTTTTTTTTTTTTGTTGTGAATGAAAATTTGTAGATAATGGCCACGTCAGGAGCGGTGGCCCTTCGTTTTATTCTCCAGAACACACAAAGTGCTCGTTTTATACCCATAATCTCTGCCTCATTGTCCAGTAAGAGTAAAGACATTAGGAGAGCAGCGTGTGAGTATGTGGCATTGATGCTTCAGGGCTGGCCAACGACACTCTTGCAGAAACATATGAAAATACTGCAGGAAACTATTGGAAAAGGTGTGGCCGACTCAGACTCTGAGGCTAGGGTGTTCGCTAGAAAGTTTGTTTCATTTTTTACTTTGTTTCAAATAGATTTATCATTGACAATTAGCATAAAAATACTATATTATTAAATATTTGGTTGCTTGATTATTTCAGAGCATATTGGGGATTCCGAGACCATTTCCCAGATCAAGCGGAGGCCCTTCTCAACACAATGGACACCAATTGCAAACGTACATTACTATCCCAAAGCAATAGCGGTAGCGTCAACAGTCTAAATGCAGTAACCCGAACTTCCTCAATACCTCCACGACCCACTAGACCCACCATAAGTGCAACAGGTAAATAGACAACATTCCATCGCCATTTCAAGCATATTTTTTTTTAACCATGCAAAGCCCATCCGCATCAGGCCGAAATATTAAATTATTCTTCCTCTGAAATTATTTTTTTTTTAACCAACTACTATATATTATGAGCTTTCAATATTATAAACCCTTCCAGTTCAATACTTAAAATGGAAATTTCTTATATAAAAAATGTAAATGATAATAATTAATGGTCATTAGCATTTTCTCTTAATAATCTGGATAAATGTGAATGAGTATTAATCTCATGAATCATTTTTTTCCCTTCTTCTTCATGCTGGCTCCCTCTTGGCGATTCATTTAATTAAACAAAAAACTGGACATTATCATTTCTATATATAAATATTTTAATGATAAATAAATGAATAAAAATACGAGAAGGCAGCACGGAAAATCTTCATCAGACTCAAAGTCCGCCACATAGGCCACTGAAAAGGACACCATCACTGCCACGTTCTTATCGTCAGTCTGGAATTCCAGTACTTCAAAGACCAACTGACAATTACTGTAATTCTTTTCATAATTATCATTCCATCGTTCATTTATTATTCATCACGGTATTAACATCATCACAATGTTGTACATTAATATGCACTATTTAATTTTTAGGGGATGAACAGATTTAATGGTCTAATAATTGTGTAGTTACTGCGTGATTGACCAGGTTTTATTATTACTTGCCATTTATTCCGTATTTCTTATAGAATTTAGTGAATTTTTTTCAAAAACTCATTATTTTGAAATTGCGCGTAATAATATTATCAATAAATTTGTAAAAAGTCATAAACAATGAGCAGTGGCAATTGATCTTTAAGATTCAATATTTTTATGATTATATAAAGGCCGTGTTGCGCAGGGACCTCGCTCTAACAGTGCTATTGACCTGAATGCCGCTAGAAGAGCTCAGGCAAGAGCTCTCTATGGTAATCTTAATCGCAGCAAAGCTATTTCTCGTAAGTCTCCTTCTCATTATTTCACTATTCTTGTATACCAATGAAAATATCATTAAAAAAATTAAAAACTCAATTTTGAACAATTCCAATTGTTCACGTAGAATAGATAACGATCATCAGAGTAGAGAAGGTATCAGTAATTTATTGTCATCTCAATCGATCTTCTTTTTCATATATATATATATATGTATATATATATATATATATATATAATTAAATTTTACCCAAATTTACACATTCTTTTTGATAATTAATCTATATTTATGAATTCATAGATTTATTATTATGATTTTCAGCTCGATCAGTTCGACCTTTAGATACAACAGCCACTGCAAGTCCTGAGAGGAGTGCCAGAACGAAAACTCGAGTTTCAGGTGTTTCGCAATCCCAGCGTAAGAACAATTGTTTGATTATTTTCCCGTTACGTCACGTGATCTTTCAATTTTAAGCTTTGCATTATCATCATCCAAATCTTATACTATGTGCTACTTATTATCGATTTCAGCAAGTAGTAGATCATGTTCACCGTCATCAAGGCTCAGTTACGCAACGTACAATAGGGATGGAGAATCTTTAGTTCCTAGACCCAGGAGATTATCTGGTCAAGGCATGAGAAGCTCTGAAAATAGTCGTGATCCTAGTCCCCAGAGATTTGGCACCTTGGGAACCAAATTAAGGTATAAAAAAATTTATTTTGCCACAAGGAACAATTATATATTAGTTTTAATCGATTAACAATGACTGCAAAAATTGTAATTTCTAGGAGTAGAAATATTTACGTATCACCTCGAGTGCCAGTGATGGCTGAAAAAATGCTGCAACGTTCCAGAGAAGCAGAATCAGCTTTGGCTGATGCTCTCTCCTTTGATACCAATGATCATCATCACTCGAGGTCCCAACGAAAAGGGGATCACAGTGATGAGAGTGAGACTAGCAGCATATGTTCTGAGAGGAGTATGGATAATTTCCGTAGACCAAGTGATGTAAGTGACCACTAACATTATGAAATAGTCTGAAACTATTTTAATTGCATGTAAAACATTAGTAGGTTCCGATAAAAATGAGAAAATATAACTGTATAGTAACCCATTGAGATTTTTTGGAAAATTATGGTAGATGCATGTAACTAATGTACATTTTGTTTGTCTATTTTTTATGTTGCTCATTGATTCATTCCACAAAATCATTTTTCGTTGGATTGATTTTTTACCTGGGAACTCACATACACATCATCATCATCATCACAACTCCTCTGGGAATTACAATCATTCAGTCGTATTCGTGGAGCGGTTCACAGCAGAGACTCTACCGTGATTTGTGGGAGCCCTCAGTCCCAAAGGTTTGTCTATTAAATTTGTTGCTGCGATTTTTCCTCCATAAAAATTGATCATTATTTACAATTAATCAGTTAATACCTACTAGCATATTATACATTGAGATAAAATTAATAAATTCACCAAATAATCATACCGTCAGAATAATTACGAACAAAAAAAAAGACAATATGACTTTATCTAATATTAAAAGAAAAAAAAAAAAAAACAGACACTTGAAGTATCGTCAAATATGTCGATACCTAACTAGAGAAAAATGAATTCCTACTGACTCCTACGAAGAAATATTTCATTAATTTGTCAATTTTGTGCATAGTGTTTTAATGAATTTCCTTTCTGTTTTCCAGGACATCAAGGAAATAATAGAATACTGCAACAGAAAACACTGGGGGGAGCGTAAAGAAGGGCTGATCGATCTTCAGCAGTTTCTCGCGAATGGAAATACGTTAACAGCAACAGAATTGCGTAAAATAACAGACATATTCACAAAAATGTTTATGGACTCTCACACAAAGGTGTTTAGTTTATTTCTCGATACGCTGAATGAATTAATCGTGACCCATCACGAGGACCTTGGTGATTGGCTGTACGTTCTCTGTACGAAATTGCTCAACAAATTGGGAACGGATTTACTGGCATCAATTCAATCGAAAATAAACAGAACACTCGATGTGATCAGAGATTACTTTCCAGGGGAGCAGCTTCTCCCCTGCATAATGCGTTTCCTCACCGATCCAACACAGAAGCCCAACTCACGCGTTAAAACCTCCACCCTGACTTTCCTCAGTCACGTTACCGAATCATCAGAGCCATCGGGGCTCAACTCCTCATGCAAATCAGCTCTAGTACGTCTCCTGGACTGGACCAACGACGTTAAATCCCAAGATGTTCGGCGTCATGCTCAGGATGCTGTTATTGCCCTTTACAACCTCAATCCACCTCAATTTCCAATGATTCTCAATGAACTACCCCAACTTTACCAGGACATCGCAATGCCAATAATCCAAACTCACCTTCGACGCTCCTCTACCTCTGCATCAGCCTCTGCATCTGCATCAGCTTCAGCTTCCACATCCAATCCAGCCTCCCCAAACACTCATCTTCCCTCCAGACATCATTTGCCTCCATCACCCATGAAAATCAACTGCCACGATGAAAGTCTCAATGCAGAGGATTTCATTAAATCATTGAGAAGGACAACAGCTGAAATACAGAATTTTAGCTTCGAGAGAATGGAGGGACCCACTACATCCAAGGACTCTGGTATATCCAATATGGCCGATGTAGAAGAGAGAATTGAGTGTTTGGCACTATCAAATTCAGGGAGATCTTCGTCAGTCTCATCACCAACTCAGAGGATGAGATCAGTGAGTTCAGTAGCAACGATTAATGGTAATGGCAGTGACACAATTGCTAGTGATTCAATTATTCCTGAGAGGAGGAATAATGGATTTGATAGTACGTCTGGATTAAGGGGTCCGGAGTTTGTTGACAAGAGCCTGAGGCTTCTACAAAGCGATGTTGAGGCTAGTGAGAAAGCCAATTTGCTACAAGATTTTCAGAGTTACGTGCGAGCTGATGGGGCGCCCTTAATCAAGCTCCAGTTCAAAAAATTTCTCAAGACAATGCTCGAGTTGTTGGCCACTAATAATAAACCACTGGAGATCGAGGTACTCAAGACTCTGGTGGAGATGTTGAGGTGCAGAGAACTGTTGGATAATTTTCAGCCCTATGTGGATTTGCTGGTGATTAAAGTGCTCGATGAACATAAGCCAGATGCCTATGATCCAAGCTCTGGGAGCCCTAGAAGAGGTGGCCATGGGCCCACTGATGGAGCCACTAAACCACTTCAACTTTTGAAGGCGGCTGAGGATTGTGCTGCAGTGATAGCCACTGTACTACCTCCTTCTCAAATTCTTCATCTGGCTCTACCCACCATTCAGACAGAATCATTTCCAAGGAATGTCGCTGCTATCAAGATGATACAGAATGTCGTCGAGCACGGAGGAAAGGCAGCTATTGAGGGAGAACTCAATGGCATCATGACTATTTTAATGCAAGCTTACGACAACAACGAAAGTATAGTTCGAAAGGCGGCAGTCTTTTGCATGGTAGCAATTCACGCAGCAATAGGCGAGGAGGCATTCGAGCCATACAAGAAAAATCTCTACGGTGGAAAATTAAAACTCTTGAACATCTATATTCAGAAGGCTCAGGAAGCCTCCAGCAGTCAATCATCAAGTCCACGCAGTAATCACAGTAGGAATTAACTAAGAACAAGCGCCGCGACTCTACGTGTTGCAATATTAAAACGTTTCTCACGTATTCAACGGAGGCACGAATTATTGTTGCTGAAATTCAATTGGTAAATACCCAAATCACAACACTATTTCAATAAAATCAACGAGAAATTATTGATTAGAAAGCCGCTTTTTGCGCCCAACAAAAATTTATATTATGTTATATATATATGAAAAAAAAAACAAAAAAAAAATTATAACAACAGAGAAATAACTAAGAACAATGTAAATAAAGATGGAAAGAACATGTTTTTATCCGAGTCAAGGCGCACTTCCCGGTGAACTTGCGTCCAATTTATTTATTTTCTGTCTCTTGAAGGATCCAAATGTTTCTCTTACTCAATATTAATAAATGCCGGGTTTTTTTTTTTGTTTTTGTTTTTCATCAATTGGATCATATTAAATTGAACAATCGAGTGATACAAAACATGGTGTTCGATATTGAATTATTCTGATAAATAATGCGAGAATTACAACCGTTTACCATTTCAATACACGAATTCACAATATCTGTGCCATTTTTTTCTGCTTTGATTTTTCTTCAGTATTATTGTTTCTGTTAGAGAGCAAAAAAAGCATTGTGAACATTTTTTTTTACTTTTTTTTTTTTTTTTTTTTTTTAAATTGCTTGTCAACTTTGGAGCGCCGATCGGTGGAG